ATCACGTACAGGTTTATTCTGGTACTTATTTCTAGAAGAAGATCTAGGGGTCAAAGGAGCCCTAGATTTAGAAGAAGATGGCCTTACAGAACCACTTTGAGAAGAGGAACCACGAGTAGATAATGAACCAAGGCTACAGAGTCTATCACTCCTCCTACTTCGAGTAGGGTCAATAGAGGGTACAAGTTCGTCAACGATCACAACTTTGCGAGGGTTTAGTGTTAATGAAGACATGTTTAACAGAGGAAATACAAAGAAAAGGTACCAAGAAGGACTAATATAATGGATACAGAAGAAAGAAGGTTTCAAAAAATAAAAAGTGTGAAGTATTTATAAAGAGATACAATCAGCGTTAAAAATTGGTCATTATGAAGCGTCATAATGAAACCGTCACTTCATGACTGACGCAACCGTAGAAAACCCTAAACAACACTGATAAATTGTAGATCCAATCATACAAAGCCACGTGGCATGTGCATTAAATGAATGTGACATATGTCGCATCGATTCTGAGGAAGGCATAATGATACTCGAGAAACGACGGCAAAGAATTCCTACCGTAAAAACTTACCACTTCCCGAATATGCAGTTTAGATATTCAGAAAGTGGGGGGTGGGAGCTATTTGTATTGGTGGAAAAAAGACATGACATGTAGACTGTCAGCAAGCTGACGAGGCATGATACGTGGAACGTTGACATAACGAATTAACAAGTGCAAGAAAAGGCACGGGAGAAATACCCACGGGGTTATATTGAGGAGCGAACTGGACCTGATAGCTGTAAAGAGGGAAACCTGCAAAGATAGAAAGATACATGAACCAGAAATAAATAAGGAAGGGAAATCGATGCAGTTACAAGGAATCCCTAGTCATAAATGTTTCCGTTACAATTATATGTTGTAACGGACAATCAATACAATTAATCACATTAATGAGCCCAAATTAAGTAAGGGAACTGTTATAATTGTACGCTCCTATATAAGGGCTGACATTTCATTTGTAAAAGGGAAACAATTATTATTATTGAAATTCATATTTTTATTCTTTGCTTTATTCTCCGAGCTTTAAGCCTTAATATGTGGGAGTGATTATTAGTTCATATCTTATTTCCTCAGTCAATTATTTTCATTCTTTGGTCCATTTCTTCTAAAATTATTGGACAAAGTGAAGTAAATCTTGGTTATTGTTTTGTTAAACAAAAGGGTTATTTCCTATATGTCACCAAAAGAAACATATTCCAGACCCTAGTAAAATTAGAAAACAGAATATCAAACATTTAAAAGCATCATATGAAATCCATGGTTTCCACATAATTTCTTTATAAAAGATTCAGAAACTGGGAGGAACAATTAGATAATCTGGGTGAACAAGCACAAGGAACAAAAAGATGAAAAGTAAAAATGCATGTACGCCGGTTTTCAGTGGTGTAATTGCAAAACCTGTTCTTTTTGGCAAGAGCTAATAAAATTACCCCTCCCAATTATTTTAGACACTCATGTCAGCAAAGAAATGTATTTTTTTATGGATTAAAATGTCTCTTGGAGATCTGTTAATTTTGAGGGGCATAGCTAAGTTACTATGCTAACGGCGAGGGCGTTTTTGTGACCAAAATCAAACAAAACGTTTTTGCTATTTACAATAGTTGTTGGACAATTTTGATCTATTTCTCCAAAATAAATGAACTATGTGCGGATTGCTCTGGAAAAGTTCAATAAGTATAATAATAATAATAGAAAATGACTATATTAATCCAAAATTAACCTTTGGCTTGCCATATTCTGTATGTTGCATCCAAAGCTAGGTGCCTCAACCATGTTGCACTCAGAGCCGGAGGCAACTTTGCAGTACCGAGTTTATATGAACTCACTACTTTCAACTTGGAGTATTAAATTATGTGTAAAATATTATTAATAAAATTGCGACAATGAGTTTAATGTTAATAACTCTAAAACTTAATCCATAGGGCTTGAAACCTTAACCCGCCTTAGGTTGCACTTTTCCATGAATTTGTAAGAGATTGACTGCTTATGTTCAAACTTGATTTATTAAAACCCCAACAATAATAAACTCAGTGTAATTGATGTTTGGCTATAATTATATAATTTTAGTGCATTACCTACCTTATATTTTGGGGCTTTAATGTTAAACTACACTATATTTGTGCTTAATTGAGCTTATTTTATGTGTAGGTACGTTGAAGACGAAATTAGGAGCAAAGTAGAGATTTTATGTGTATTTTATGCACTACAAGAATGACTCGTGATTATTTGATGATGAGAATAATTTTGTTGCCATGAGTGGCGCGTGATTATTTGTCATGATTATTTGATGATAGAGTGATAATTAATATTTGAAAAGCAAATTAAAGCAAGACAAAAAAAAAAAAAGAGAAACAAGGCAAAAGAAGAAACGATAATGAGAAAGGAAGGAAAGCAAAATTAGGCAAAGAAACAATTCAAGACTGAAGCAACAGAATTGAAAACGAAACAGCTCCAGGCTACGCGAGATTCGTCGTTCGCTAGAAAGCATGCGGCCCGAACTCTGTTGCTCGCTATTGAGCAGGCGGCGCAAGCTTTGTAGTTCGCTACAGAGTTGGCGAGGCAAGGCCTAAGGCGCGGTGGAGCGCGCTATAGAGGTTGCGAGGCACGATCTGTAACGAGGGTGTCCGGATTTTTAAAGCCTAATTTGTCTTCTATTTGGTTTTGGACTTGGTTATTTCGTTTGGGTCTTTTCCCTACACCTATAAATAGTCATTAAACAACACTTTTAGAGGAGTTTTTTGCGACCGGAGGAAAGAACATCACGTGGAATAACTTTTGGAGGAGAAAATCATAGAGTTTTTCATCCCTTTATCTTTTCTTTATAATTTGTTTATGCAAAATACTTGAAAAATAGTTAATACGAACATGAGTGACTAAGCACTCTAAGTTCTAGGGTTATGGTTGACATGATTATTAACGTTTATTAATTATATCTTCGTTAATTCGGATTTTTATCTTGTGGTTGTTTCTTTAATTCTAGTTTTAATTTGTGAATTATTGTAGCTACCAATTCACCCTACTATCTATGCTATGCTTGGGAAAGCCATGTTTAGATTAGAGTAGAATTAGAGAAAGCTTGTTTCTGAACCCGTGGCTCGGGGGATGATTCGCGGTTAGGATAGGAATATACCTAACAGTCTTGCTTAATTAAATATCGTCTTATATGCGTTCATGATAGACTCAATACCATAGAAATATAAGATTGATATATTGTGGGCAAGCGAGTAGTATTGTGGGAACATGTTATTCATATAAACGATCCGGTTAATTAGCAATCATAGATAATCCGGATTAACGAGTGTAATTATTGAACGTAATAGGATTGATAAACCAACCACAACTCTGGAATTTTCATCTCTTCTGAAGTAAAATCTCATCATACGCATTTCCATTCTTGATAAATTAGTTGTTACTTGTTTAATTTTTGCAATAGTAGATTAATAAAAACACGTCACTCTTAAATAGATTGGACAATGAATTAATTTTAGTTTGCTTAGTTAACGATCAATCTAAGTCAATGTGGGTTCGACATCCGACTTTCGAGTCACTTTATTACTTGACGACCACATATACTTGTGTGTACTTGGAGAACCAACAAGTTTTTGGCATTGTTGCCAGTGACTTAGTTATTGATTTTTTAGTTAACTTAAGCTTTGATTCGTTATTTGTTCAAGTTTTAATTTTTAGTTTGCTTTATTGGCGTTAACGCAAGCTCTTCTCTTGAATGCGGAGGAGTAAAAGCGCAAACAATATCCTTCCTCTTGACCCTGAAATCGAACGAACACTTTATAGAGTGAGGAGGGAAGCTGAATCTAGAACTAGAATTGAAAGAGAGTTGGACATCGTAATTCAACCACAGCCAATAGAGATGGCAGGAAATTAAGAGCGTCCGGTGATAGAAGCTGCAAGGCCCAATCTGGCTCTTATGACTCAGGTGATTGTGAAGCCTGATATTACGGGTCACTTTGAACATAAACAGTACATGGTACAAATGATTCAATCCACAAGGCAATATGTTGGCTTATCTCATGAAGACCCGCAAAGGCACATTAGAACTTCCTAGAAATTACAGACACTTATAAGTATCCGAACTTTTCCAAGGACTATGTCAGACTGGCACTGTTTCCCTTTTCACTAATGGGGGAAGCTAAGGAATGGCTACAAAAGGAGCCCGCGAACTCAATCCACAATTGGGATGATCTAGCAAGGAAATTATTAATCAAGTTTTTTCCCACAAAGAAGACAAAGTCACCGAGGAGCCAGATTCTTGGGTTTCAACAATTAGATGGTGAGACTTTTCGACAGGCTTGGGAAAGATACAAGAGGCTACTCAGAGACTGCCCACACCATTGTCAGACTGATGAGGTGTTGGTCACACTTTCGTTGATAGGTTGGACGAGGCATCAAAGATGAATCTTGACTCAACATGCGGGTGTAGTTTCATGGCAAGACCGTATAGTGAGATCCAGATCCTGCTAAACAATTTCACTGCTAATGATAATAATTGGCAAGGAGATGGGGAACCACGAAGAGCACTTAAATAAAAGGCAACATGTGTGATCGAGCTTGATGATTTCTTAGCAATGAGGGAAGATATAGTGAGATTAGCGAATCAGATGAATAAAATGACAATGCACCACGCACAACAGATGCAACATGTGCAACAAATGTCTACTTACTGCAAGTTATGCGGTGAAGGTCACACAAGTGACATATGCCCCGTGAATCTTGAATCTATATACTACGTGGGGCAATAAGCTAGAGGGACGATGAATCAAAATGCTCAATATGGTAACACATACAATCCAAACTGGAGGAATCATCCTAACTTCTCTTGGGGTGAAAAAATCAGAATATTAGGCCTCAAGCGAATTACAATCATCCACCTCAACCTCCATAGCAAGCAAAGGAGAGTCTGACTGACATGATGAAAAAGCTCTTGATAGACAATCAAAAAGTTATGGCTGAGAATCAACAAGTCAGGGCAGAGAGTCAACAAGTCAGGGCGGAGAATCAACAATTGCGTACAGAGTTGATAAATCTAGAGAGGCAGTTTGGGCAGATGGCTAACAATAAGAATACTAGACCTGCTGGATCTCTCCCAAGTGATACAGAGAAAAAATCTCAAGTCAATGCAGTGGCGTTGAGAAATAGGAGAGAGTTAATAGAAGTGCCTAAGAAGAAAAATGAGCAATCTTGGCTCGAAGAAGAAAGAGTTCCAAAACCTGTAGAGGTAGATGAGAGAAACAAAATAGAGCGTGTGCAAAAATCAGAGAGGGTACCACCCCCTTTTCCTCAAAGATTGAGAAAGAAGAATGATGACCACGTGTTTCACAAATTCTTAGATATGCTGAAGAAGATACATTTGAACATCCATTTGGTGGACATGCTCCATGAGGTCCCAAAATATGCAAAATATATTAAGAACATAGTGGCAAATAAAATGAGGTTAACTGAGTTTAAAACAGTAGCACTTACTGAGGAGTGCACTTCCAGGATTCAACATAAGCTTCCACAAAAGCTTAAGGATCTGTGTAGTTTTACCATCCTCATGAGGATTGGTGAATTTAATGTGGGTAGAGCCTTATATGAATTGGATGCAAGTATCAATCTGATGTCATTGTCAGTGTTCAAACAATTGGGCTTAGGGGCTCTGAGACCCACCACAGTGATGCTACAGTTAGCTGATAGATCCTATGTTTATCCTGAGGGGGTAATTGAGGACGTCCTACTGCAGATTGGAAAGTTTATTTTTCTTGCAGATTTTATCATCCTAGATTACGTGGCTGATGAGTTAGTTCCTATCATCTTGGGATGGCCTCTTTTGGCCACTGGAGATGCAATTATCAAAGTCTGAGAAGGTAAGATGATCCTGAGTGTGGACAATGAAGAAGCAGTCTTCAATGTATATCGAGCCATTCAGTTGCCTCGTCATTACAAGGACTTGGCCATGATTTCAGTGGTGGAGATAAATGAACTAGCCGTAGAGTAAAGGGCGTTTAAAGAAGATGCACTAGAAAAGGCATTGACGTTGTTCAATCACTAGGAACTTGAAGAAGAGGTTGAGGAGATGTTGCACATTCTGGATGCATCGTGTGAAAACATAAGAGAAAGAACCCAATTTGAGCCTCTGGATAGGCCAATAGGCCCGCCTCCTAAACCCTCAGTTGGGGAAGCCCCAAAATTGGAACTTAAACCCTTACCATCTCAACTTCATTATGTAGATTGAGGAAATTCTAACACTTTACCTGTGATTTTTTCTTCTCAATTGTCTTAATTGCAGGAACAAAAGCTCTTAAGGGTGCTGAGGGAGCACAAGCATGCCATTGGTTGGACGATATCTGACATAAAAGGTATTAACCCGGCATTCTGCATGCATAAAATACTCATGGAGCAGGGACACAAGACTAGCGTGGAGCATCAATGCCGCCTCAATCCAATCATGAAAAAGGTGGTAAGAAAAGAAGTAATTACGTGGCTCGATGCAGATATAGTATTTCCTATCTCCGATAGCAAGTTGGTAAGCCATGTTTAATGTGTACCTAAAAATGGGGGTATGACTGTTGTAGTAAATGAACAAGATGAATTAATCCCAACTAGGACTGTGACTGGTTGGTGAATATGGATAGACTATAGGAAGTTGAATAATGCTACACGAAAAGATCACTTCCCTTTCCCCTTCATTGATAAAATACTTGAGAGGTTATCCGGACAGGAATACTATTATTTTTTTGATGGCTATTCGGGGTATAATCAAATTGCTATTGCCCCGGAATATCAAGAAAAGACCACTTTTACATGCCTTTATGGCACTTATGCATTTAAGAGAATGGCATTCAGGTTGTGTAATGCACATGCGACTTTTCAAAGGTGTATGATGGCTATTTTTACTGATATGGTGGAACAGTTTGTGGAGGCTTTTATGGATAATTTTTCTATGTTTGGTCCGTCTTTTGATGAATGCTTAACCAATCTTGCTAAAGTGCTTGCCAGGTGCGAAGAGACTAATCTGGTACTGAATTGGGAAAAGTGCCATTTTATGGTACATGAAGGTATAGTGCTGGGACACAAGGTGTCCAAAGATGGACTGGAAGTTGACAAGGCTAAAGTGAAAGGAATTGAAAAGTTGCCACCACCAATTTCAATGAAAGGAGTTAGGAGTTTTCTGGGACATGCAAGTTTTTATCGTCGATTTATAAAGGATTTCTCAAAAGTTTTCTCTCCTTTGTGCATGTTGTTAGAGAAGGATGTGTCGTTCCAGTTTGACGATACTTGTCTGAAAGCATTCAAGAAGCTGAAAAAGAAGTTAGTGATTGCACCAATCATAGTGGCTCCTGACTGGAACGAGCCATTTGCGTTGATGTGTGACGCCAGTGATGGTGCAATTATGGCCGTATTGGGCCAGAGGAGGATCAAAATATTTTGCTCCATTTACTACGCAAGCAAGACTCTTACTCCCGCTCAAATAAATTATACTGTGACAGAAAAGGAGTTGCTTGCTGTAGTGTAGGCGTTCAATAAATTTCGGGCCTATTTTCTTGGCACCAAAGTCATCATCTACACAGACCATGCAGCCATCAGGAATTTGTTAGAAAAGAAAGATGCTAAACCAAGGCTAATCCATTAGGTTTTACTCTTGCATGAATTTGACTTAGAGATCCGAGACCGTAAAGGAACAGAGAATCAAGTGACAGATCACTTGTCCAGGTTAGAAACTCAGAATTATGTAACTGAGGGATATGTCATCAAGGAAACATTCCCGGATGGGCAATTGTTGTCCATTACTGCTGGGGAGGTACCATGGTATGCAGATTTTACGAACTATTTGGCAAGTGAAGAGATGCCGCCTGATTTTGAATCATATTCTACGAAGACGTTCTTGGGAGATGTGACATATGTGTGGGATGAGCCATTCCTATTCAAATCATGTATTGATCAGCTAATGAGAAGATGTGTGCCCGAATATGAAATAAATGTTATCTTACATGAATTCCATGCATCACCTTATGGTGATCATCATGCGGGTAACAAAACAGCAGCTAAGGTATTGCAATCGAGTTTCTATTGGCATAGGGTGTTTAAAGACGCCCATGAGTTCGTGGGGAGATGTGATAGGTGCTAGAGAACAAGAACAATTACGAAAAGGCATGAGATGATATTGTATGGTATTATGGAGGTCACAATTTTTTATGTTTGGAGAATTGATTTTATGGGTCCACTTCCCTCGTCCAGTGGGTGTAAGTATATTTTGGTGGTCGTTGACTATGTGTCGAAGTGGGTGGAGGCCATAGCTCTTCCTACCAATGATGCCCAGGTTGTGGTTAAGTTTGTGAAAAAGCATATCTTTACAAGATTCGGCACTCTGATAGTGATGATAAGTGATGGGGGCACCCATTTCTGTAACAAGCTCTTGGACAATGTCTTAGCGTAATATGGGGTCAAACATAAAGTTACAACCGCTTACCACCCTCAGACTTGTGGGCAAGTGAAAGTTTCAAATAGAGAGATAAAGCAGATCCTGGAGAAGCCGGTTGGTGCAAGTAGGAAATATTGGGCTACAAAGCTTGATGATGCTCTATGGGCATACCGAACCGCCTACGAAACTTCAATAGGAACCTCCCCTTACAAGCTGGTTTATGGGAAAGCATGCCATTTACCGGTGAAACTTGAGCACAAGGTCTATTGGGAAATAAAGAAGCTGAACTTTGATGCAGACTTAGCGGGTAGAAAGCGGCTGATGCACCTGAACGAGCTTGATGAGTTTCGCTTGCATGCGTATGAGAATGCCAAGTTATATAAAGAACAGACCAAACGCTGGCATGATAAGCATATTCAGCATCGCGAGTTCGAACCAGGCCAATTGGTTCTCTTGTTTAATTCAAGGTTGAGACTCTTTCCGGGGAAGCTCAAATCGAGATGGTCAGGCCCATGTGTGGTAGTAAGAGTCACTCCACATGGTGCAATTGAGTTGCACGTCTTTGGAGGCGAGATAACGTTCTTAGTGTATGGACAAATAGTAAAGCACTATTATGGAGGTGACTTTGATTGTCACAAGTCGAAGGCGTTACTTGCCAATTATTAGACGAGATTCCATGTCCTGACGCGACGTTAAATTAGGCGCTTGTTGGGAGGCAACCCATCTTTACTTATTTCTTTTATTTATATTTTTATCTTATTATTGTTGTAGTTTTTTTATTTATATTTTTATCTTATTATTGTTGTAGTTTTTGTTATTGTTTTGTAAGATTATGAGCATAGGAAGCAAAGCTATTGGAAAAGTGCAAAAGCGAGTTAGATGGTGAGAACTAAGTATGAGGTGCCACACAGAGTACTATGCCTGGGGAAAGTCTGATTACCCGTGAGTCATGATTGCTTCGGCCTTTCGCCTTTCAAGGAGTGAGTTTCTTGTCCACCCTCGTTATTTTTTGCTTTATTTGTGAATTGGGGATATTGCACTCTTTTAAGCATGGGGTGGGAGAATTCCTCTAGATAATTAGTAGTAGTATGTTAGAAAATGTTAACTTCTTATTTTGATTTTAGCTTCTTATTTTTGTTTTCGTAGTTGTGTAGTATTTTAGTAGCTATGAAAAAAAAGTAGATAAATTGGACTTTTCCCGACGATGAATCTCATTCAACAGGTTCTTGAGGTATTTAAGTTGAAAGAAAAGATAAAAAGATTTTATTTTGTTAGGTAGTGTAGTAATTCCCCCTTGGTTTTTCTTTGTGTCGTGGTTCTTTTCCAAGAATTTTGTTTGAACCAGGTGTAGGTAGTTTTCATTTTTTAGGGGTAGGAGTCACTGTGAGATGAATTGGATTGAAATAATATCTCTTGACTTTGTTATGCCTTGAGAATAGTGAGTACTTTGGTTGTGACGCTTAGGCTCAGTTTTTGACTCTTGTATAAGTATCTTAAATCGTATAATCTTAAATTTTCTCCACTGCTTTGACTAAAGCGTCTTGATGAGTCAAATCATGAGTGAGTTATATGCCATGTGTGTGTGGAGTTTGTATGTATTCTGTGCATTGCATTTGATGTCTAGAACTTGCCATGNTTGCTCGAGGACGAGCAATGTTCAAACTTGATTTATTAAAACCCCAACAATAATAAACTCAGTGTAATTGATGTTTGGCTATAATTATATATTTTTAGTGCATTACTTACCTTATATTTTTGGGCTTTAATGCTAAACTATACTATATTTGTGCTTAATTGAGCTTATTTTATGTGTAGGTACGTTAAAGACGAAATTGGGAGCAAAGTAGAGATTTTATGTGTATTTATGCACTACATGAATGGCTCGTGATTATTTGATGATGGGAATAATTTTGATGTCATGAGTGGCTCATGATTATTTGTCATGATTATTTGATGATGGAGTGATGATTAATAGTTGAAAAGAAAATGAAAGGAAGACCCAAAAAAAAAAAAAAAAAAAAAAAAA